CATGCCAGGGTGGGGGTGGGGGTGCGCTATGATTTGTGACATTCTGGTTTTCAAAACCTCCCAGACACAGAAAGACTGGACAGTGGTAGGGGTGCCCCTTGGGCTGTCATGGACATCGGCCCCTCTGGCTGTGACTACTGTACTGGGAAGGTCAGGGAAGGTGAGCTTTTTCTCCCACTTCTTTACCTCCCGTGTTTCCAGGAAAACACTGCCTGGAGCATAAGAAATGGAGAATCGTGGGCGCCTGTGGGGAGCTAGAGAGCGTGGTCCTGGATGCCTGGCTGGGTGGGGCTGGTGCGTGGGATCTTTCCCTGAGAGCATTTTCCATTCGGCACTAGGAAGGGGGACCATGTGCTAAGGAAAAGATGGTGTCATCTCCGTGCTCTGGAAGGCTCGGGTTCTAGCAGGTGGGCAGAATCGGGTCCAATCACACACAGGAGTCCTAAACAGGGCCGCTTGGGGCAAAGGGTGCTGGGTCCCCAGCCAAGGGGTGCGTCTGGGTGCCTCTGCAGAGCCCGGTGCCCCCGGCTGCTGGGGCACCCAGACTCCCACAGATGCTGGCCCGGAGACAGGGGAGGGCGGCCGTCTTCACCTGCGGGTGTTCCCACAGCCTACAAGGAAAAGATGAAGGAGCTCCCGCTGGTGTCTCTGTTCTGCTCCTGTTTCCTGGCCGACCCCCTGAATAAGTCATCCTATAAATATGAAGGTAAGTGAGGGCCACCGCTAGGAAAGTAATGGGTGGAGGGTTCCTGTGGCTCCTAGCCATAGTACAGCACCCCCACCCCAGTTTCCTGAACCTCTCCCCCCACGTCACCATTGCTTTCCCAGGACCAATAGAACCACCACAGCTGACTCCGAGGGTCTAAGCACCACGTGAAGGCAGGCATGGGGCTGGGCCTGGGTAGTAGGCGGCAGGCGAAGGTCTGACGCAGGCCCTGTGCAGAGTGCTCTTGAGCTCAGCTTTTGTTCATTCACTTGAATGATGCTGTGGAGGGTGCAGAGGTGAAGCAGAGATGATGCCCTCAGGGAACACCTAGCCTGGAAGAGGAGGCAAGAGAGGTGTACATCCTTAGACTCCATAGTTACCAAGCCTCCTCCGGGAAGGGTAGGGAATGCTGGGGGAGAGCCCAGAGGTGGGAAGAGGACTTTTGCCCAAGGAGGCTCTGTGATAGCCATGCTGGTGGGTCCCTGAACAGGTGTCCCTGGGTGCTGGCAGGGAGCACTGAATGGCCACATCCTGACTGGGGGTGGTCAGAGCACAAGTCACCTCTTAATTTCCTGGGGGTTAAAGGAAGGGATGGGTTTGGTCTGAAAATGAGAGATGGGGGTGTCTGGGTTACCTGAGAATGTTTTTTTCCGTTGTTTAGGCTGGTGTGGGAGACAGTGTAGGAGAAAAGATCAAAGCCAGCGGAAAGACAGTGCTGACTGGAGAGAAAGAAGAGAGCAGGGTAGGAGGGAGAGGGGGAGAGGTGTCAACAGGCTGAGCCATCAGACTGGTAGTGGGAGGAGGAGTGAAGAAGTGGATGGGTGGTGGGTGGTGGGTAAGTGCACACTGTTGGCCACCATAGATGACCATCTGAGCAAGAGCTCAACTATGGGAGGAGCCTTGTGGCAGAAGCAAACACCGTTGCTACAGCCATTGTCAGAAATCACATATCTTAGGACCTTAAACTTGGAGCCTGAGCCCTCACTGTGGCTACCCTCTCCTTAGCCCCATCAGAGCCCATGGAACATAGGTGCCATGTTGAGGACAGACCCAGAACGTTGGCCATTGGTTTGCCTGGGGCACCCAGGTCTCCCACGGATGTGTGCATGTGTGTGTGCTTTACGGGGGCCCACGCCATCTTCAGGGGGTGAGCAGCCCCTCTTCTCTCTGCAGCTGACACGGTGGACCTGAACTGGTGTGTGATCTCCGACATGGAAGTCATCGAGCTGAACAAATGCACCTCCGGCCAGTCCTTTGAAGTCATCCTGAAGCCGCCCTCCTTTGATGGGGTGCCCGAGTTCAATGCCTCCCTCCCCAGGCGGAGAGACCCATCGCTGGAAGAGATACAGAAGAAACTAGAAGCAGCTGAAGAGCGAAGGAAGGTAAGTGCTACCCTTTCTCCCCTCCATCTCAGCAGGAGGGGGAAGGAGCTGGAGAAGACCGGTGGTGGCTCTGAGCTGGGGTCAGGTCACCACCGACCTACAAATATTTATTTATTTATTTATTTATTTATTTATTTATTAAAATCTATTTTATTGATTTTTTTTTTTCAGAGAGGAAGGGAGAGGGATAGAGAGTTAGAAACATCCATGAGAGAGAAACATCCATCAGCTGCCTCCTGCACACCCCCTACTGGGGATGTGCCCGCAACCAAGGTACATGCCCTTGACCGGAATCGAACCTGGGACTCTTCAGTCCACAGGCTGACACTCTAGCCACTGAGCCAAACTGGTCAGGGCCTACAAACATTTAGACAGCACTTCCCATCCCCAGGGCAGAGAATGGGGCGTCATGGAGAGAAACAAGAAGTAAACGTCCCTGGTCTCTAGGAGCTTCCAGTTTGGTTAGGGGGCTCAGGCACAGCATTACCTGCCTCCAAGAGGTGGCCGGACATGCACAGCAACAAGAGTAAGACATGGACAAACAATAAGGATTTAGGAAAAGACGAGACAAGTAAAAAAAGGGGGCTCCTTCACTGGGGCGGGGGAGAAGGCCCCTGGTGTGTCTGCTGTTTCCTATTGATTCTCACGGCCCACCTCCGATGCCAATTTTTGTGTAAGTTTTTCTTCACCTTTCAAACAGGAAATAGTCTTCTCCTCCCTTGGATTCCTCTTAGGGCATATGTCACCTGCTGGTTTGGTTTGAGTTATTTATGTATGTTCTCTCCACTAGGCTTTTTTCTTTCCCAAGTTGGTAGATGAGTGCCTGGCACATAGTATATGGTCATTTAGTATTTGTGAATGCCTGAATGAGTGGATGGATGAATGAATGAACAAATGAATGAATGATGGCCATGAGGAAAAGAGAACTGACGGTATGGTGGAGAATCTAGGAAGTAGGCTGGGGACCAGGTTCAGGGAGGCATGTGTTCTGGGTGTGGAGCTTTTAAGTCAGATGATAAAAACATCCCCTGCGTGCTCACCTTCAAGAGTCTCTTGCTCCCTTTGTGCGTCCCTAGTACCAGGAAGCTGAGCTCCTGAAGCACCTCGCCGAGAAACGGGAACACGAGCGGGAGGTGATCCAAAAAGCCATCGAGGAGAACAATAACTTCATCAAGATGGCTAAAGAAAAACTGGCCCAGAAGATGGAATCCAATAAGGAGAACCGGGAGGCCCACCTTGCTGCCATGTTGGAACGGCTGCAAGAGAAGGTAAGCGGCCTTGACCAGAGAGGAGACTCCTAGGACACGGTCTTCCGTCCATGGCAAGTGTCATAGACCTATCCGTCATTTCCGGGAGCAGGCAGCCTCCGGCAGGAATGGGGATATTCCGCTAGGCTGGGTCCTTAACGAGTTCCGAGGGATGGTTTGGGAAGTCATAGGCAAGAAACATAAGTGGAGCTTTGGAATTCCTTGGAGGACGTGCTGCACAGCTACACAGCGGAACTTTCTCATTGTCTCAGGGAGATTCGAGCTCTTAGCATCTAGAGAACGCAAGGGAGGAGGGATCAACAAGCCGCTGTACACGCCTGGCTTTATCCTTGAATGGACCAATTCAACTCAATGAGAGATGCTGACTGGAGCTCTTGGCTCTAAGCCAGGGGCATGATGACCTGAGCTGCCCGTTAAGCAGGAAACATGATTCTTCCCAACTCTATTGATATGGACCGAGGGAGTCATGAGTCTTTCCAATATGCTGCCTCTTGTCAATAAACCAAATGGTGTCACCTAAATATGAGAAACGTGAGAAGCTGAGGTTGGTCTCCGTGTCAGCAGAATAACAGCCCGTTCTGCTAAGAACACGTTGGCCTCGTTTCCTGAGTCTCAAGGCTGCCCCAGTTTCTCCTGCAGCTCCTGGGAGCGCTCCAGCTCTGTGTTTTATTTCCAGGAGCCGCCTGCTGCGCGGTGACTCCCGGGACCCGATCGGTGGCCTCGTCCCATGGTGAGCAGCGTGGTCCCCACTCCTTCCTGCCTGTCCACCTAGAGTCTCAGGTCCCTCACAACAGCTACTAGAAAGATCTAGTTTCTACACAGGGGATCTGTATGTCCCATCGGCCCTGCAGTTGGCCAGCATGTGGCTGCCCCTCTGCTCTTATATTTCTGGGGGCAGCAAGGCCTCCATTATGTACCAGATAGGAGGGAAGCGCTCTTGTCTAATTTCAAACTTCCCCAGTTGTTGAAGGATGGCTAGGAGCAAACTCTTGCAGGAAAAAAAAAAATCTGGGACTGGGATAGGATGAGGCATGGCTCTCGGGCCAAACCGCGAAGAAATGATTGAGGCGTAGAGCATGATATGGTATTTGAAAGACTGCCCGACACTTCTTATTTCATCATACCCCTCTTTCCACAACCAGTCCATGAGGTAAGCAGGACAGATCTTATCCTTGTTTTACCAAAGCCTTCAACAATGCCTGTGTCAGAGGAAACCGTGTCAGAGAAGGTCAAGTGACTTGCCCAGTGGCACACAGCCACTACGCTGGACGGGAACCCAGTTCTTTGGCTATGCATCCAGGTGGCTCTTTCAATGTGTATTGCAGGGAAACCAGCACCCAGTTGTCCTGCTGGCCTTTTGTCAGAGACAGGGGTTCATTGGAGGCCAAGGAAATGGAGTCCAGAAACCTAGGGTTCTGCCCAGGGAGCTCACCTGGACATGGAGGTAGATTTTGAGAGATTAGGAAGACCCAGACTCCGGGGTAATAGCTTTGGAGGTCGGGTAAGACTCAAAGAAGCAAGATGTTGGAGCAGACATTCGAGTGGGCCTCACGTCTCTGGGATCTTGACCTCTATTCAACCTTGCCCACTAATGAAGGAAAGGGGTGGGCGTGTGGTTTCTGCCCTGGCTCCGCCCAGGGACACCTTCAACAATGCCTGTGTCAGTATTTGTGTATGGTCATTGACCACCTGCACCAGACTCACCTGGTGCCAAGTTTAACACTACAGGTACGTGGATCATATCTTAGATCTACTCATGCTGTTTCTCTAGGGATGGTGCCTGAGGACTGCAATTCAGCATTCTATCTAGGTCATGCTGGTAACATAGCAAGGTTGAGAACCACTGCCTTAGATGCACGCCTCCCCATACTATCCCCAGGACCATGGAAAATTCTAGGGCCCCTGCAGGGGCAGATTGGTAGTTTAAGATATATCCTAGTGGGCGTGGTCTAGGTTGCTCCTTGATATCTGGGTGTGATGATATCTGGATGGATGCCAGGGTCTGGCAGTGACAATATTTATTGAGCACCCACCATGAGCAAGGTGCCACAGGAGGGATTGGAAAATACAAAAACGAACAGGGCATGCTCCCTGCCCACAAGGAAGTCCCCCAGTAGAGGACCCGGATCTGTGCACAATGAATGAGTTGTAACGATAAGCCCTAGAGGTAAACACTAAAATCGCAGAATTCTAGCGATAAAGGAGCTTCCCATGCGTGCCTCTCTCTTTAAAGACCAGAGAGCTCAGGCCTGATCAGTGAAGCGAGCTGGTCATGGTCACACAGCTCACAGGCCTCTGAAGTCAGGGTCCATCTTGTGGCTTCATCATGCTGGGAAACAAAAGAGGGTCCTCTAAATACACCTGTAAGAAAGCTCGCCTATTGGAGCTGGACAGCACTTCCAAGAATTCTTCAGTCCATTTAGACTTGAAGAGCCCTCACCTTCCACCCAGGGGGTTAGACAACTCTCCTAAGGAGACAGACAAGAAATGAAAGTGGCAGTCAAGGTGCGTGTAGGGGACACCTGCAATGAGGCCCCTCTGCTCTGCCCGTTCCTTTAGCAGCTACACTGAGCGGCTGCTTCTATTAAGTCAAGTCGCATCCTCAGTGCAAACCCCAGGATGGCCAGGTGAGGGAGGAAGAGGCTGGTGGGCACCGGGGTCATTGTGAGGTGGGTCTCCGGGGAGGTTGGCCCCAGTCAGTGAACCACCTGGGGCCACACCAGCAGACTCACTCACCTGCCTCCTGCCAGTCTCACCTGCCACCTTCTGTCCCTTCTCAGGACTCCTTGAGACCCTGCTCTTCACTTCCGGTGGTGGCCATTCTTTGGGTTCTCTTGTCCCTCCCTTTATCCCCTCGGGTGTAACCTGTCCTTTCCCTATCCTTCCCTCCCAGGACAAGCACGCGGAAGAGGTGCGGAAAAACAAGGAGCTGAAGGAAGAGGCCTCCAGGTAAAGCCCAGAGGCCAAAGAAGTTTCCAGAACAGCCGGACAGCTCCAGCAGCTCCGCGTTCCCGAGGCAGCCTCGCCCGCCGCTGGCTGCTCTCGCAGCACTGGGGTTTGGGGGGAGGGGGGCGACCAGGGGTGTTCCCTCTGCTTTTGGTGTTTGTACATGTAAAGAATTGATCAGTGAAGCCATCCTATTTGTTTCTGGGGAACAATGATGGGGTGGGAGAGGGGAGAGGAGAGAGGTGGGAAAGGAGATGGAGAAGATTCATGGACATTGCAACCCTGCCCACCGCAGACTCAGGTCAAGTCCAGGCACCATGTTGAGAAGTTGAAAACAGAGCAGAAGTCTGAGGGAAGGGCAGAGTCCTGAGTGGGGCAGCGACTGCAGGGTGTGGCCACCTGCAAGGGGGTGGGGGGTCCCAGAGGTGTTGCTTCAGCCCTGCAACAGGTGGGATGAGGTCTGAGTGTGTGTGTGTTAACCATCATCTTTTGATCATCATGACCAATGAAACATTTATTCCAAGTCTCCCGTTCTTTATTTCCTGAATCAGTCCTTTGGGTGATGGGTAGAATGTTCTTGAATTTGGTTCCCACCCTCCACGTGGCAGATGCCCCTTTGGTCCCTCAGTTTGACCATCAGAGCATCTGAGATGCTGAGGTGGGTTGAAACATGCCAGCCTTTGGCATAACTGAAAAGTTTGCTGCTTCTCTTCCCCCTTATCCTCTCTCCCTCCTCCTCCTCCTCCTCCTTTTTGTGGGCTGGTCCCTTACTGGATTTGGGGCATGGAATTGATGAGAAAAGAAACCCAATCTTCCTTTCTATGGACTGACATTCTAATATGGTCCCCAAGATGCACAGTAAGAAGGAAGTCCTCCTCACTTTGGGGGTGTGGGATTCTAGGTGATCACCAAGAGCAAGTGAGGAAATAAAATGTTTGTTAGTGAAAAGCAGAGGGACTCATTGCAGACCCAGCAGTCAGAACACCAGCCATGGCGGGTAAAGGCGTTCCCTCCTCTACTCCTGCAGAAAGGAGCCGGGGGTGCAGCCTGTGTGGACAGGGTCCCAGGGCATCTCTCCTCCGTGCCCCACACACTGTGTAGTTTGTACAGCTTTGTGAATAAACTGTTTGGTACTTGTTGTGCACCCACCAGTGGTACTGCAACTTAGCTTCATTATAGGATGGGATAGCAGGAGGAGAGATCAAAGGTGATTTTGAAAATAATGATGGTAATAATAATAATGGCAGATGACACTTAGGAAACACTTATTAGATGCCTGGCAATTGTCTGGAAATTACATATATATATTAGAGGCCCAGTGCATGAAATTCATGCACTCGGGGGGCAGGGGGTCCCCTCAGTCCAGCCTGCACCCTCTTGCAGTCCAGGAGCCCTCAGGGGCACTTACTAGATGCCTGGCACTTGTCTGGAAATTACATATATCTTAGAGGCCCAGTGCATGAAATTCATGCACTCGAGGGGCGGGGGGTCCCCTCAGTCCAGCCTGCGCCCTCTTACAGTCCAGGAGCCCTCAGGGGATGTCCGACTGATGGCGTAGGCCCACTCCCAAGCCAGCAGTCAGACATCCTTAGTGCTGCCACAGAGGCGGGAGAGGCTCCTGCCACCGCCACTGCGCTCGCCAGACATGAGCCTGGCTTCTGGCTGAGTGGTGGCCCCCCTGTGGGAGCACACTGACCACCAGGGGGCAGCTCCTGTGTTAAGCGTCTGCCCCCTGGTGGTCAGTGCGTGTCATAGAAACCCGTCATTCCACCATTCAGTTGATTTGCATATTGGCCTTTTATTATATAGGATATCCTAATACATAAAAACCCTGGGTCCATCACATCCACAACAACCGGAGGCTCAACCTAATGCCCAGGCTGCATGCGCAGCAGGCTCTGGTGGGTGGGGACTTGTGGCAGTGGAGATGGGGCTGGGGAAGGCGGGGCCAGCACTCATACTCATACTCAATCACAACTGCACACACACACAGATACACACAGCACCCACCAGCTCACAGCCTTTTCTCCCTTTCTTTCCCTCCCTCCCAGCTCACTCTCGGAGCCTCTCTCAGAATGAGGAAATGAAACAGACTGGGCCTGAAGAGGCCTGGATGGAAGGGAGGGCGGGCAGAGAGTGGAGCGGCCCCCACTGGCCCTGCCCCCTCCCAGCTGGGAAAGAGGGAGAGGGAGACAGGGAGGCAGGGAGGCCTGGAGGACTGCTGAGAAAAACAAAGAGAGGCAGAGACTGGGCGAGATTAGGCCAGCAGGGGAGGGCAGTTCGGGGTGATCAGACAGACAGAGACAGTTGGGGGAGAAATCGGGCCAGCAGGGGAGAGCAGTTAGGGACGATCAGGCAGGCAGGCAGAGGCAGTTAGGGGCAATCAGGCAGGCAGGCAGAGGGGTTAGGGGTGATCAGGCAGGCAGGCAGAGGAGTTAGGGGTGATCAGGCAGGCAGGCAAGTGAGCAGTTAGGAGCCAGCGGTCCCAGATTGTGAGAGGGATGTCCAACTGCCAATTTAGGACCGATCCGGGTCCTAAACCGGCAGTCAGACATCCTCCAAGGGGTCCCTGATTGGAGAGGGTGCAGGCTGGGCTGAGGGGAAACCGCCTCCCCTGCTCTGTGCACAAATTTTGTGCACCAGGACACTAATATATATCAGTCTTCACAACATACCTACAACATAGGTTCTGTTATTCTCCCATTTTGAAGACAAGGAAACGGAGGTATAGAAAAGTTAGGTAACTTGCCCAAGGCCACACTTAGAACAAGGACTTTAATTCTGGCAGTGTGTCCCAGAGTGTGAGTTCTTAGTCACTGCACTGTGCTGGGTCTTGACATTTCCAAACTAGGATGTGAGTCCTAGGAAAAGGTTCCTCAAACTATGAGTTGTGACTCACTGCATTGTGAAATCCACTTAGTGGGTGCCACCCAACTTCAATTTTAGAAATGGAATAGAGTAGAAAACAAAATATCCAAGTGATTCCAGGTAACAGCGAAAGTATTGTTTTGTGGAAATTATGTTTCCATTTTATATTTGTGTCCTTATGTTCTAGGTCACAGCATAAAATGTATTTCTTACTGGGGGGTTGCAATCAAAACCCTTTGAAGGTCAGTGCCCTAGAATGAACTTGGAGGCCAGAGCTACAGCCCCGGGGGCTTCGGGAAGCTGCTGTGCTTAAGAAAGTGAGAAGCTGTGGCCATGTCACCAAGAACTGTCTGCTTCTGAGTAAAAGGAGATACTAATGCCCTCAAGGGTCTAGTCCCACAAATTTACCGCATCAGAGACTCCATCTCTCCAGGGGAATACCCAAGGCCAGGAGCAGGGGGTAGAGGGAAGAACTGAAACAGGAAGAATCAACAGAATTTGGTGACTAAATAGAGAGATGTCCAGGCTCCTGGTTGAACAGGTGGGAAGATGGCGGTGCTACCATTAAGATGAGACTATGGGAGGAGGGGACACTTCCTTAGGGAAGGACTCCGTTTGGGTCCTTAAATTTAAGATGTGACTTCTTTAAATAATATAACTGAGATGATTTCTTGACTACAATTAAGTTACATAACTTGCTTATGAACTGTTTTCCATTAACACCATTAACGAGGAATGGGGCTCTGTGTCTAACAGCCCAAGCTGGGCAGAGCAATCCTGCTCACAGTAGACGGAGACAATCTCAGAGGCAGTGATGGCAATCACATACTCCCACATGCCTGAGTTGAGCCTAAGTCTTAGCCATAATGCATATGAAAATATTGCTTGAGTCACAATAATGAATGCTAAGTGCATTGCATTAACTCATCTGCCTTGAGCACAAGTTCAAATGTCATCACAGTTGCAGGGAGTCCGTTTCGTGAGTACGTGCTTTCTTTGCAAAGAGAAACTTGAGGTAAAGACGCTGCCCTTCCCAACCTCCCCTATTGCTAGGTGTTGTCAGTTTACTCATTTCTGGCCAGGACATGGAAAGAGAACATATGGCTTCTGGGAAGTGTTTTGAACTGAAGGAATGCGCCCTTTTCCTTCCCTTTCCTACCTCTTGCTGGATTGAATGTGGGTGTGATGGATGGAGGTATAGCAACCAATTCGGATCCTGAAGTGCAGATTAGAAAAGAAGTATGCCTGGGGCATAACAGAGTGGCAGAAGCCTGGATCCTTCACACTATGGGCACCAAACATACTTCAGGTACTTAAAAGAGAAATAGACCCTGTTTTTGAGAATTTTTTTGTCTGTCAGTCACAATGGAATCTAATCATATTGGATTTAATTTCTGTTTTCAACAGTAAAATTTATATAAAATTTTTGTCCTGCCCTAGCCGGTTTGGCTCAGTGAACAGAGCGTCGGCCTGCGGACTTGAGGGTCCCAGGGTTCGATTCCAGTCAAGGGCACATGCCTGGGTTGCAGGCTTGATCCCCAGTAGGGGGCATGCAGGAGGCAGCTGATCAATGATTCTCTCTCATCATTGAAGTTTCTATCTCTCTCTCTCCTCTCCCTTCCTCTCTGAAATCAATGAAGGAATATATATATTTTAAAAAATAATAATGCACCAAAGGCACTGGAACAATGGATCTAGATAAAAGGACCATGAAACTTGGTTCTATGGGGGATGATTCACACTCACCAATTAAACAACAGGTGATAGGGTCCATTCTTGTTGTCTGCTGGGGCCATGGAAGAGGGAGTCATTAGCCCAGGCTGAGTGAGGGTGACATTTAAGATGGATCCTCAACATAAGGAGGCTATTGCCAGGTGTGGGAGGGGTGTGGGGAGAGGGCATTCCAAGGATCACGCAGCATGAAAGGCAACGGTGTGTACAACTCCTAGGCGGTGTTCCCTGGAAGGCTAGTGTGTTTAGGGGACAGTACGGTATCCAGAGTAACCAGAACACCACGTGAATGAGGTTGGCAGAAGAGGAGCCATTGGGAAGGGCTTCGATGATCAAACTAAGGAATTTGGACTTAATCTACAGGTAACTAAGAGCCACCCAGTGATCTGCAAAGGTAAGAAGTCTACGCATGGTCGGCCAGACAATGACCCCACAGTTCCATATTCAGAATAGGACTCAAACAATTTGGGGGGCAAGAGGTGGGGTTGGGGGAAAGAAAGGAGGAAAGTAGGAAGGGAGAGAGAGAGAGAGAGAGAGAGAGAGAGAAGTGGGAAGGTAGAGAGAGAGAGAGAGAGAGAGAGGAATAGAGAGACAGAGGGAATGTGTGTGTGTGCATATTTGATAGACACTCCAGCTGGTAATTACGGGAGAGAAGAAAGCCTGAAGACCTGCATCAGAAAAGATTTCGAAGGAATGGGAGGAAGAATCAAGATGAATTTGGAAGTTTAATTAAGACCATGGGACATTTGCTGCCTAGGGAAAGAGGAAACTGTCTCTAGATTTATTTGTGATGAGATCCTCACACTTTCTTCCTCGGTCTGTTTTCGAGGCCTCTCTGCAGGTTAATGGTACTAGATGTTAAATATCCTTTTGATTGAGTTTCTAGAAATACTACATCTGATATTGATTTGATTTCAGATTTCTTTTCTTTAGTAATACCCAAGGGGCATTTTGTAATCTTAAAATTGTATTTCAGGAGAAGAGAGCAGACTCGAAGCGCCTGCCATGAGCCGATAATGCGGCTGGCGCTTTGCCCGCATCACCTGACTTGGTTTGCTCATCACTGTAACCCTGAGGTCAGCATCATGCACCCCTTTTACAGAGGGAGCTGAGGGTCTCAGAGACTGAGGGTCGCGCCCAGGTTTCTTCTCAGTGGCAGAACCAGGATTTGGATTCTAATCAGCTTGACTACAGAAGCCATATATTCCACAACTCCAAGAACGTTCTGGCGATGTCTTTCACAAGCTGAGAGAACTCGGGCATGTGGTGCAGCCTTCAACAGGTGAACTAAGTTACACTCTGCCATTGTGCTGACATCACTCTCCTGAGTTACACTTTGAATTCCCAGGGAGAGGCTTCTGGGAACCTTAGAATGAGGCACACTGGTTATTACGTTTCTCATGGGAAGGAAATACAGCATTTGTGCATTTTTTTCTTGTTGGCAGTTTTATTTATTTTTTTACACATATTTTTATGTACTTCAGAGAAGAAGGGAGAGGGAGAGAGAGATAGAAACATCAATGATGAGAGAAAATCATTGATCGGCTGC